TCTTAACTTGGAAACTATTGAATTTGTTATTCCAGGCACAATACATCATCCACTCACAGTCTTCATTCGAGCATTTGGCCCTTGCTCTTACCTTGTCATTCTTAACCCACTTAAATTGCCTCCCAAGACTTATATTGTAGTCTTTCACACCATGTTTAAAGTGCTATAAACTGACAAACTCCATTCCAAGCTCAAGCTGTACATGACCAAAAGTATTCTCCTCATTAAACTTCGGAAGCACAGCCCTTTCAACCTCCTCATCCCCACTTGAAGGAGGAGTCTTCAGTTCTTCAGAATTGTAACCATAGCCTTGCTCTTCAAATGACATATTCTGCTCATCCTCTTCCAAGTTTTCTTCCATGTCACTCTTGTTAACTGTCTTTTTTCTTCTTCTTTCCTTTCTCTTTGTTTTCAATGAAATAAGTGGCTCAACCTCTTCATCCAGTTCATCCTCTGTTTCGTCATCAACACCCGGTGGAGGAGGCTTACATGGCTCATCTTCTACACTGTTATATGAATCACTTGACAGTCCATTGCCCTCCCCCTCTTCATATTCATCAGCAGAAGCCATATGGAAGTCACACGAACTGCCAACTAAATCACCTAATACCCCCTCCTCATCAGCACTTTGAGGTACAACCCCGTCACTCCCTTCTGCAGGACCAGCCAAAAAGTCAGGAACTGCAATGCAATCTTTAAAATATATGTCTATTTTATTCCCATTACTTAAGGCAGCCTTGACCATTTGCAAAACATCTGAATCCTTTTCAAGAAGATATAACCTAACCTCTAAATCACTCTCAGTAGCATTAAAACCACCACATCTGCCTACATTTTTGGTAACCATACCCCTTGAACAGAGCTTCAAGGTCACGAAGGTTTACATAGTTTGCATCCATTTCAGGTAAATCATCCACTCTTCCATTTACATAAGTAAGCTTCCCTTCATCATTCCTAACCAAAACACCCCCACGATGATATCTTATGACTATATATTCATCCATCTGTATAGAAAACAAAACTGCAATCATTTTTTACACTACCATAATATTATTTTACAGTATCATATAACCAATCATGTATTATCAATATTACAATACTACCAGTCACAGATTTTTTATCATAGGCTCCATTGCTAAAAACTTGGGTCCACTAATCATTACACATAGCAATTTAAATAACGACAAGGGGACCATATGCAACAAGTTGCAAATATAAAATACCAAAGGAGACCAGAAAATAAAACCCTAACAATCTCTTTCCCTAAACCGCACATGGGGGACCACAATAATATGCAAAAACAATGACGAAAAAGGGTAGGGGGACCACAAATAATAAAGAAATGATTTCTCTCACGTACCTTGCAGAAATGTCACCACACTCACAACAGTTTTAACAATCTTCACCAAAAACCACACTACTTCCAAATAGTTGCAACTGCAGACGAGACGTGCACTAACAAACCACCGTGACTGCCAACCTTCACCGAAAATGAAGTTCACGACCAGAGGAAATGGTGGGTATTGACAAGTAACTTGTTGTCTGAGTGTGTCAACTGAGTTAACACCAACGTTGAAGAAGTCTCCTTTAAAGAAACGACGTCGTCCGCTTCTAGTTACATCTGAGGGCCTTCGCATATAACACAACGACGTCGTTCCTATCTCCTCCATGTGGCTGGTGACGTTAGTGACTCAGCTAACTAACGGTCCAGCTGTGCTCCGTTAGTTGGGCCGTCAGATGCCAACTAACGGAAAGATAAACGTGGCTCTTTTTTTCAAATATTAGGGACTAAACTGAGACTTTTTTATTGTTGGAGACTAAAATGTGCCTCGTGAATATTGTTAGGGACGAAAAAGAATATTTACTCTATTATTAAAAAGCTTAACTTTTGAAGTTTTTTTTTTTTTTTTAAATATATACATTACTTTGCCTAAGTCTTTATCTTTTTGCCTTAGTTATGGATGAACTAACAAAAGATATTCAAGAGGAAGAGCCATGGTGTATGCTTTTTGCAGACGATATTGTGCTTATTGATGAGAGCAAGGATGGTGTTAATAGAAAACTTGAATTGTGGAGAAGCACATTGGAATCTAAAGGATTCACATTAAGTCGAAGCAAGACTGAGTATCTGAAGTGTGAGTTTTCTCTGGTAAGAGATGTAGACCAAGATCCCGTGCATCTAAGTGATCAAGAGGTACCCAAGAAAGACGCTTTTAAATACCTGAGCTCCATTTTGCAAAAAGGTGGAGAGATTGATGAGGATGTAAATCATAGAATCAGAGCAAGGTGGATGAAATGACGCAGTGCATCTGGGTTTTTGTGTGATCGCAAAATCCACCTTAAGTTAAAAGGAAATTTCTATAAAAGAGCAGTAAGACCTGCAATGCTATATGGAGCTGAATGATGGCCAGCACATAGGCAACATTAGCATAAAATGGGAGTAGCAGAGATGAGGATGTTAAGGTGGATGTGTGGTTATAAGAGGTTGGATAAAATAAGAGATGAAGATATTCGACGAAAGGTAGAAGTACTACCGGTGGCTGAGAAGATGAGAGAACATAGATTGAGGTGGTTTAGGCACGTAATGAGAAGGCCTCTGGATGCTCCCGTAAGAACAAAAGTTTGTTACCAAGAGCTCAACACGAAAAGAGGTAGAGGTAGACCGAAACTTACTTGGGGGAAGGTAGTAAAACAAGATTTAATGGAGTGGGATATAGATTTGCTGACAGTATGCCTTAGAACGAAATGGAGAAAAGCTATAAGCATGGTGAAGGGTTAGACCCGTTGTTATTCTTATGTTCCAGATGGTCCCTTTTTAGTCTTTTTTCTCTTCGTTTCCCCTCTTCTTCTTTTCCCTTTTTTTTTTTTACTTTTACTTTTATATATATATATATATATATATATATATATATATATATATTATTCCTATTATATTTATTTATTTTTATTTTTACTTTTATGTTTCTTTTTTCAATCTTTTTGTATCTTTCATTTGGGTTCATCTACCACCGACTCTAATTAATTTAGAATAAAAGTGTTGTTGATGTTGATATATATTAGTTTTGCAATTTGATTCAGGTGTAGTGAATGTCAAATATCGCTGTAATAATACTTTTCCAATTATGAACTTTCAATCTTGAGATTCTCACCTTTAATCACTATCACCGGCACTTATTTTTTTTTTTTTTTGTAAATACCGGCACTTATTTCGTTGCTTTTGAAGTTATAATGCATATATCTGTATTATTTAATACAAAAAGAATGTATTTTTCATTTGATTACAATCTGTTTTTATCAAAATACCATCACGATTTAATGAAAGTCACATTTAGAACGAAATAAAGTTTTTTATTTTGCAATTGTAACTACTTTGAAATGATTATCAACTTCTCAATCTGTAATAACATTTTTATTTTATAAAACTTTGCAAATTCCCTATTATTGTTAAGAGGGATTAATCTTTCTCCTATCATAAATAAAAATTTATTTTATTCAACTCCAAAATAATATCATTTTAAAATTTAAAAGAAGGATTTTATAAGAGTTATGTTGTAGGAAAAGTAATTCTGTAACATTATAGAGATTCGTTTTGCGTGTCGTAATTTTCTTTTTTTCAAAAGTGTGGGCCCCACAAAATGTTGTGTGAGCAGGAAAGTTTGTTGTGTCATGTTAAATAACAAATATAAACCCCTTACAAAAATGATACAAATGAAAAAAAATATTAAAATACCTTAAAAAAATTTCTTTCAAATCCCCAAACGATATAGTCTTGGGATTGATTAAGATAATTTTATCCCATAATAAGATAAACACTTTTTCCTATTACTATCATCTTAACTAAAATAAAACATGTGAATTAAGGGTCGTGTAATAATACCTATAAAAATGCTAGTTATTATAATTAATTTATTAAATAATATATTACTGTTCTATTCAAAATGTTTATTCAATAATAGTATAAAAAATTTAAAACTAAAAAGAAGTAAAATTAATGTCTTTATTTTTTATAACTTTAATATTCTTTTTTCTAAAAGTGCAGCTGACCCGATCATTATTAGTTTTAAGTAATTTTTATAATTTTATTGACATAACTTTTTCTTCACACATGAACTAAAAAAATGATGCATGGTTAAACAAACTTTTAACTATTAATTAACACACAATAAAAACAAAGATTTTTTTTTTTTTTAGTGGTTACTCAACTAGATATTTTGGTGCAACTAGTAACGGCTGTTTGGTACCAGGATTTTTTTTGTTTTCTCGGGATTTCTTGATTGGGTAAATAAGAATGCATCGTTTGGTACATGCTTTTTAAAATTTTTCCGAGAATCTGATTTTTTCGGGATTTTATTTTGTGTATAATTTTTTTTAAAAAAACCATCCAAGAATACCATTCAAAAGGTGGTATTCTAGGATTTCTACGGCAATGGGTGCAGCTCAGTTGGTAACTTGACGCTGAGTTAGTGGGGTTGAATATGTGTTCGATTCCCGCTGAATGCATTCTTGGGGAAGAGGCTGAACCTTTAGCCATCACTGTTCCCCCGCACTCCGGATTAGTCCCATAGCCGGCTTAAAGAGTCGAAGCTCGGGGGATACCGAAGGGAGCCAACTCGTCTCAAAGAGATAATTAGGGTTGGGTAACTCCAAAAAAAAAGAAAATTAACCCGATATTCCCGAAAATATGTTAGTCTACCAAATAACTTTTTGATAACATTCCTAGAAAACTTATTTTTTCATCATATTCCTAGAAATCGTGATTCTCGGATAAAAAAAATTTCTGGTCAACCAAACCCCTAAAAGTCAAGTTTCTATTTATTTATTTTTCATTAATTTTTTCTCAAACCCCAAATTCTGATAATGATGATAATGTAAGAGTAACATGATGGGCGAGTGGAAAAGCAAATACCAAAGCGGTAAAAAGCAAGGGGTTGAGGAAATAGCGACAAAGTCACACTATTTTTGGTGCAACTCACACTGTTTTTGTTGTTTGTTGTGAACTTAGTCGAGAAGGCAACAGAAACTGAATCAGACTAGACTTTGAGTCTTGACCCGTCAACCCCCCAAAAATCTTTATCTTGCACACTATCACAATTCCTTCCCACCTTCCAATTTTCACATATACAACCAGTTAGGTAAGTTTCTATTTTCTCCCTCTAATTTCCATATTAATTTGAATTTATTATACATTTTTCTATCAAAGGGGATAGTGGGACTGTGCAGTTGCTGATACATGGGGTGAGTAATTTCATGATTTGATCAAGATGGTATCTTGCGTTGAGTTTGGTTAGTGGATAAGCATTTGGCATTCATTATTCGTAATGGGTTGCGGTTCTTGATCTTGTTCTTGTTCTGCTTTTTCCGGGAGGTGGGGTTTCTTTTGTGAAATTTGGCACTTGGTTGTGTTTTGAAATGTGGGTATTTTAAAATGCTTGGATATGTATTTTGGTTATTCCCTATTTTAATCATTGGATGTAGGTTCAGAGGCAATTCGGTTGCCAAGAAAACGTGAAGAAGCAAATCAGTTTGCAGAGTTGTTCCTCATTATTTTGTTGAATATGTAAAACCATGTTCAGAATTTAAATTCATTTCTCTGCGTGTTTGTCTGTCTCCTTGTGTCTTTTTCTTTCAATATTCGTTTTTAATTTTGCTATATTTGCTAAATGATTTATTGAGTTTCCTTTACATGTAGTTTTGTACCCAAAGTTAATATATAAGATTTCTAGAATTGATGATACTGTCAGTTATCCTCTTTCTGCTTCTAAATCCTCCATTTTGCAAGTTCATCAGATGATTTTTTTTGTTTTTGAAAGGTTTCCCTTTTGCACACCCAGTTTTTGTTCCTGAGTATTGATTTATGGTGGCAATCACAAAGGCTAATCTAACCTGAAAAATGTGTGCTTTCGAATTTGCAGACTTTTGAGAACATGGACTTGGAAAGAAGTGAAAAGGATACTGTGGTTACTCAAGTTAGCATTGGTGGATTTGACAGTGAGGTCAAAGCAAGTGATCTCGTGAAATACTTGGAAGATAAAATTGGACTTGTAGACAGGTGTCGGTTGAAAACTTCTTGGACCCCTCCAGAGTCTTATCCAGAATTTGATATCATTGATACTACGCAGATTATGAGAACAGATGACTATAAGAAGGTGGAGCCCCATGCCTTTGTGCATTTTGCAATGCCGGAATATGTAACTGAGGCCCTCAATGCTTCGGGTTCTTGTAATCTATTTTGGAAGAATCAAACATTAAAGGTCAGCCGTGGGCCTCAGAATCCATACTTCCTGAACCAAAGGAGGAGAACTACAACTCCTTTTAAGCTGTCCGATGTAATTGTTGAAATTGGGACTTTGGTTAACCCAGAGGATTTTTTTGTTGCTTGGAGAGGACCTGATAAAGGGGTAAACTTTCTAGTTGATCCTTTTGATGGCATCTGCAGGCTTTGTTTCAGTAGAGATACTGCATTCTCATTCAAAGGAGAAAAAAAAAAAGCAGTGATAAAGTGTGATATTCAGGTTGGGTTCTTGGTTAGAGACATAAATGAGATCAAGAGATATGATGATACATCTTATCATGTTGTTTTATTACAACTAGCTTCATCACCTTGGGTTTGGTACAGAACTGCAGATGATGACATTGAAGAATTAGTTCCATTTGATTTGCTGGATGATGATGATCCTTGGATTAGGACCACTGATTTTACACCTAGTGGAGCCGTTGGTCGATGCAATTTTTATAGAATTTCAATCCCACCTCGCTATGGTGCAAAATTGAAGAGGGCTATGCTTTATCTGCATGGTCAAAGAGTGCAGGTGGTTCCACTTAAACGGCTGCTTAGGATACTGGATGAACCTGATTTTGGGGTGCCAAAGTCAGATCCTTTCTTCTTTATTCATTTTCATAAGGGCATTACTTTTGACATAATGTTCTTGGTTAATGCAATCATACACAAAGGTATATTCAATCAGCACAGATTGTCGGATAGGTTTTATGAATTGCTGAAAAATCAACCTAACGTGGTCAATGTGGCCGCCCTGAGGCACATATGTTCTTACAAGCGCCCAGTGTTTGATGCAGTTAAGAGGCTAAAAATGGTCCAAGATTGGTTGCTCAGAAACCCAAAACTTTATCAGAGCTCTAAACAGCTAGATGATATTGTTGAGGTTAGAAGACTGGTTATCACTCCAACAAAAGCCTATTGTATACCACCAGAAGTTGAATTGTCCAACAGGGTTCTCAGGAGATTCAGAGAAGTTTCAGATCGTTTCTTGAGAGTTACCTTTATGGATGAAGGCATGCAAACAATTAATGTGAATGCTCTTAACTATTATGTTGCTCCAATAGTGAAGGAAATCACATCGAACTCCTTTCCACAGAAGACAAAAATATATCAAAGGGTGAAGACTATCCTGGAAAAGGGATTTAACTTTTGTGACCGAAAATATTCATTTTTAGCCTTTTCATCCAATCAACTTAGAGATCGTTCTGCTTGGTTTTTTGCTGAAGGCAACGACATAAGATGTGATAATATAAGAAATTGGATGGGTAAGTTTAGTCAGAAGAATGTTGCGAAATGTGCTGCTAGGATGGGACTATGCTTCTCGTCTACTTATGCAACAGTGGAAGTTGCTGCAAATGAAGTTAACTCCATGCTACCTGATGTTAAGAGGAGTAAGTATGTTTTCTCTGATGGTATTGGTATTATCACTCCTGATCTTGCAGGTGAAGTTGCAGAAAAGTTGAAATTGGATAATGTACCCTCTGCTTACCAGATAAGATATGCTGGTTTTAAAGGGGTCGTAGCCTCTTGGCCCGATAAAGGGGATGGGTTTAGACTTTCTTTGAGGCCTAGTATGGATAAGTTTCAATCTGCTAGTACTACCTTGGAGATTTGTGCTTGGACAAGGTTTCAGCCCGGTTTTCTTAACAGGCAGATTATAACATTGCTTTCAGCACTGGATGTAGCTGATGAAATATTTTGGAAAATGCAGGAGGCAATGATTTCAAGGTTAAATCAAATGCTTGTGGATGCAGATGTGGCTTTTGATGTTCTCACTAAATCTTGTGCTGAGCATGGAAATGCTGCAGCAATAATGTTAAGTTGTGGCTTCAGTCCCCAAAAAGAACCTCATCTTAGAGGAATGTTAACTTCTATACGTGCTGCGCAGCTTTGGGGCCTTAGAGAAAAGTCTAGGATTTTTGTATCATCTGGGCGATGGTTGATGGGTGTGTTTGATGAATTGGGTGTGCTTGAACAAGGGCAGTGCTTCGTTCAAGTTTCTTCTCCTTCTCTTGAAAATTGTTTCTCAAAGCATGGCTCAAGATTTTCGGGGACAAAGAATCTGCATGTAGTTAAAGGTTTTGTGGTTATTGCCAAAAATCCTTGTCTTCACCCAGGAGATGTAAGAGTTTTGGAGGCAGTTGATGCCCCTGATTTACATCATTTATATGATTGTCTTGTTTTCCCTCAAAAGGGTGACAGACCACATACAAATGAAGCTTCTGGAAGTGACCTTGATGGGGATCTATATTTTGTCACGTGGGATGAAAATCTTATTCCTCCTAGTAAGAGGAGCTGGATACCTATGGAGTACGATCCTCAAGAAAGCAAACTTCAGACACGTCAAGTCACTATCAAGGTATGTGCTTTTTGAATGTCATCTATGAAATTCCACAGTTAACTAGTTGTATGCTTTGTACTGTGCAAGGGTAATATTAAAATAGGATTGTTGTTTTTCACATGAATTATTGATAGCATCATGCCTTTGATTAGAAGGAATTCACGTGATATGTTCACTAGAAGGGCTTGCCAAAAGTTATAAAATTTCATATTAGGGAGATATTTCTTCTGATATAAAACATAAATTTTGAGTATAATAGGAACTATTTCTACACCAACAATCATAGAGTTTGAGGTATACGTTGCAACTGCGTTCTCTTGTACATGTTTATGTACACACCCTGCATGCTGTCCTTGAACTTATCTTGATCTACCACATATATGGTGTGATTTTTCTTGATGACCATGTGTTACGAAAATGAGTCAGCAATTTAAAGTTGTTTTGTCTTCCACATTGCAGGACATCATAGAATTTTTTGTCAAAAACATGGTAAATGAGCATTTGGGTGCAATCTGCAATGCACATGTGGTACATGCTGATTGTAGTGACTACGGTGCCTTGGATGAGAAATGCATAAAGCTGGCTGAGTTAGCAGCCCTTGCTGTTGATTTTCCAAAGACCGGGAAGCTGGTCGCTATGCCTCCTCATCTGAAACCAAAACTGTACCCTGACTTTTTAGGGAAAGAGCCGCACCTGTCTTACAAGTCCAAGAAAATCCTGGGTAGACTTTACCGGCGTATCAAAGATGCTTATGATGAAGATATTGATGCAGCTGATTTGAAATACGGGACAGGTGATATACCTTATGATATGGATCTCGAGGTTTCGGGATCTGCTGATTTTATTGCTGATGCATGGGAACAAAAGTGCTCCTATGATGGCCAGTTGAGTGCATTACTAGGCCAATACAAAGTGAAAAGAGAAGAAGAAGTTGTCACTGGACAGATCTGGTCCATGCCAAAATACAACAGTAGGAAGCAAGGGGAGCTTAAGGAAAGGCTCAAGCACTCATATAGTGCCCTGAAAAAAGAATTTAGGCAAACTTTTGAGAAATTGAATTCAGATGTAGGAGAATTAACCGATGAAGAAAAAAATTTGTTGTATGAACAGAAAGCTTCAGCCTGGTATCAGGTGACATATCATCCTAAATGGGTGAAAAAATCCCTTGATCTGCAAATTAAATCCCCAGAGAGCCAAGAGCCAGATAGTTTGGGGAGCATGGTGATGCTGAGTTTTCCTTGGATTGCAGTTGATTACCTAGCCTGCACAAAGGTAAGGCATCGGCTATCTGGAAAATTTGATTCAACTAAGCCAGTTGATTCTCTGGCAAGGTATCTGTCTGAAAGGTTATGAATCTATTGTGCTTAGTGTCGGCTACAAGGCCACTCTGCCATTCTCAGATATGACAATGAACTTGTGTTTAATATCCTTGATAAATTGGTTTTCTTTTGGTGTTCGGTTAAACTGCTTTGCTTGTGACTAGGTTTTTCTCCAATTACTGTTCCCAAGCCAGGAGTTGCCTTTGCTGTTGAAACTTCTTCATATTGTAATCAGTTACATTTTGTATTGGCCACTATTTTCTACTTTTCTTTGTTGTGCATGTGGTTATTTTGACGACAGAAGGTATAATTTTGTGGAACATTCTATATGTAAGGTTACAGTTGCCATGCCAATTACGTTGTAGCTTAGTGGCACACAACTTCTTTACGAAGGCCAAAGCATTTGATACTAAGTTCCATCCCCAATGGCTACCAAGACTGCACACTTGACCCAGTTTTTTCTATCCATTCACCATGTCTTTAAGATGAAAATATTTTCAGTACTACTGAACAACTCAATATATCACTTATTAAAGTTGGAAAAAGTAACTTGCCAGTATTTATTTTAACTATTCTTTTATGTTTAATATCATATGAATATTTTTTTTTCTTTCTATTTTATGTAAAGAAAAACACATTATAGTAGTACTTCCATTTCAATTATAATTAAAAAATGAATTGAAGATTTTAGTTTGTTTAATAAATTATCCAAATTTAAGCCTTCATATATATATATATATATATATATATATATATATATATATATATAGCAATAATAATAATAACATAATTTGATGTGTATTAATTTGTGATTTATTTTAACATGTCTACTTTTTTTTAGTTAAATATATCTAAAAACGCCATTTTCTTGAGTTGCTAATTAAAAATTAATTTATTAAGTTGAAAAAAGTCAATTAATAAAAATTTGATACTGTCTCAGCTCAAACAATTTGTGAGGTGCTAACCTTAAGTAGGTTCATTTTATTTTATTTTTTCACTAAGCCATGCCTAAACGAAGTGTCAGTTATACTTTGGCTCGTTGACAACTCTATTCTCATAGGCTCATTACTTTTTTTCTTTTTTTGGAGATATTCAGTCTCATTACTTTTTTTCTTTTTTTTTGAGCTACCCAACCCTAATTACCTCTTTGAGGCGAGTTGACTCCTTCCGGTATCCCCACAAGTTTCGACTCTTTGAGCCGGCTATGGGACTAAAGTCATGTAAAATGCACCCGACAAAATTTCAATGGGTAACTGATAGGCTTCATGTAACAAATAAAAAAGCCTCGGACATGGAGTTGTTAGTGGGCACGCCAATAACATTTTACAGAGATGGCCACTTTGAATCAAAACCCAGTCAGACGCCTTAGTAGAATCTTTGATTAGTGCTCTGTTGTTTGAAGAAAGATTCTACGAGAACACTTCATTTTTATATTTGGGAAATTTATAGTTCAACAACTTGCAATTCCTTTATTTTGACTTCATTTTTAAAGTGTGTCTGATCACATTAGAATTTATCCGCACAAATATACGTACAATCTATGAACTTTACATGATTATCTAGTGATATACATCATGATAAATAGTTGGAGACCATCTTGGAAATTAAGGGTGAATTTGATATCAGCGTTTATTTATTTATTTTTTATTTTTTTCGGTAGCCTTATTTATTTATTTTTAAATTAGCTTTTAGAATTATTTTAACTCCATTAATCTATGTTTACATAGTTTGTTATGTATCAGGGTAAAGGAGGAATATTAGCTATAAAAAAAATAGTTGTTTTTATGAGAAGAAGAAACCTTTTGATTATTTGTTGAAGCTTGTTTTTTTTTTTTAAAAAAAAAAAACCATCAACTGTTAATTCTAATTAATTTGGAATAAATGTGATGGTGAACTTGGGGGGGGGGGGGGGGGATTATTCTCGTGTTATTAGAGAGTAACTCTCTTTTCTACACACCCATTAATTTTCCTATAACTCAATTTTATTATTTTTTAAATGAGTGAATCCCATAATTGTGCCCATGATAAAAAAGAAGCACCCTCCTATCTCATGAGATTAATAAAGTCCTTAAAAAAAACCTTGTTTGATGATTTTATTTTGAGTACAAACTTTAGGACTAGGTCAAGACTTCTAATAATGGTAATGTTGTTTTTTATTTCTTTTTTTTTTCTGAGTTTAGAAAACATTCTTCCAAAAAAGATTAAATATCGTTTTGGGTCCCTAAAAAATGATCACTACTTTAGTCTTTTACAAAAAAAAAATTAGTCAGTTGGTCTCTATGAAATTTAAAGTGGATCTATTTTAGTTCTTTTGAGAGACTAATATAGGTCTTTTTTAAATTTGTGAGGGATCATGATTTCAACTAAATGGATACACTTTGAATTTGTTAGAGATTTCGAGAGACTAATTTTATGTTTTTTGCAATGGACTAAAGTGGAGACTGTAATTTTTATAAGAGATTAAAAAAAATATTTACTCTTTAAAAAAAATATGACGATAAATTGCGTGATGTCCACTGTTTAAAAGCTTGAGGATGTCATGTAGGACCATAGTGGTGATAGTAGCAGCAATTTCGACAACGAAAAGGCTCCAGCGACGGTGGCGTCAACAACTGGGGTGATATTAACAACTCAAGGGACAATGGTAATTTGAAATGAGAGTATAAAACGAATAAAAATAAATTAAAGAAAATAAAAATAACTAAATGATACCTGTTCCGGAGAGAATACTTGATGAGGCCTGAGCGCTTCGACTCGGGTTGGCCCCGAGTTAGAGCTTCTGCATTACTGCGTAGAGCACGTACCAAGGTCATGAGCCATCAACCCGCGACCTGGGTTTAACTTTTAAGACTCATGATCCCACGGAACCACTCTTTCACCCACTGTGACCCACGTCTTTTACTTGCGAGATAGCCGCTGTGGCCCATTTTTTATCACATTAACATTAAATAATCAATTCATTATAAAAGTTTAAGTTATTCGTTGAAATTACATCACTGATTTTATATTTTTCTAACATAATTCCTTACCTAAGAATTGAACTTGAAGGGTAGACAATATATATATCTACCTATATATGTTAAGAAATTCCACAAAACTTAATTAATTATCAATTAAATAAGGGTGCGAAAATCGAACCTTTGACACCGAAATTCTAATATCATGTAAAAAATTAATTCAATTCAAAAGCTTAAAAAACTATTGAGTGAAACTACATTAATAATTTTATATTTATCTAACATTAATGGTCTCTAGAGGTTTAATATATTCCAGAACATTACTGTAGGAGGATGAAGGGGAAGTAGGAGAAAGAATGAATCGGGAAGGATTGGGAAGAGAGGGAGATAAGAAAATTGTCAAACAACTCTCTATTTTCATTGAGGTTTGATTTGCAATATTTAAAGAAAGTGCACATCCTAATCTAGAATTCAAATAACAAAAGTTGTTGAAACAACCAATCCTAAAATTACGAAGGGAAATAACAAATCCTAAAAATAGGGATAGAAATAACTAATCTCCTAATTACAGTTAAGCTGCATGTTTATTGGAATTTAAACCAGAACAATTTGCAATGCTGGGCTTGGATCATGTGAGGTAGTCATCCAAGTGTTTTGGGCTGATCCGCGTGCGTTTGGGTTGTGCCCTGGTGGGCTGGGTCACAACATCACCTTCCCCTTTTGAATTATCCATGTCCGCATGGATGGGAATTGCATTGGATTGTCGTCCACTGGGAGCGTGCCGTGTGGGGAAGCCAAGCTTATCTTCTGCCCGTTGGGCTGCGTCTCCAGGTGTAGTGTCATGATGACCTTGCTTTGTCATAATTGCCTTGGTTGCTGTGTCCGAGGCGTGCGTTAAAGGATTGGACGATGAATACTTATCGTCATTTTGCCTCTTTTCCTCAGCCGTTCTCTGTCTCGTCTTTTCGTCTTCGTCGCTATCTTGTGCCATTTCTTCTTCCCACGATGAATCTTCTGGTGCACCGTTGGTTCACTGGACTAGGACCTCCTTAACTAGCTTCCCCTTTTTCCAAACCTTTCTTTCGCCGAGTATAGCTACTGCACGGTGAAGTGGTTTGTTATCCTTCGTGTGTGGTGGAAGTGGGTGGACTTTGAACGAGGTTGGCGAAGCAAACGGTCGGAGTAGGGAAACGTGAAACACCGAGTGTATCCTTGAAGACTCTGGTAATTGAAGTTTGTAGGCTACGAAACCGATTCGCTGCAACACCTCAAATGGACCGTAGTACCGGAGTGCGAGCTTCTGAGAGGTTCGTTTCTAGACGGTGAGCTGTCGGTAAGGTTGTAGTTTAAGTAGAACCAGATCTCCTTCCTTGAACTCCCATTGCTTTCATTTTTTGTCGCTGTAAGCCTTCATTGCTATCTGAGCCTGATTTAGATTTTGCTTCAAGTTTTCCATTATTTTGTTTCTGTGTGACAGATCTGTGTCTATGGCTTCTAAGGTGCTTGATCCGAGACAGTACGTTTACAAGTTCGGAGGGGGAACACCAAATGTGACTTCGAATGGTGTATAACCCGTCGATCTGTTGAAGGAGGTGTTGAAATGAAACTCGGCAAAGCTCAAGATTCGTGACCAGTGGTTCGGGTTCTCGTGTACGAAGGCTCTAAGGTACTGCTCTAGACACATGTTTACGCGTTCAGTTTGACCGTCGGTTTGCGGGTGATATGCTGAACTGTAACGCAGGTTTGTGCCTTGAAGTTCAAACAGTGCTCGCCAAAAGTTGTTGAGAAAGACCGGGTCCCGATCAGAGATGATGGTTTTTGGAAACCCATGGAGCTTCCCGGTAGATTCCCATAATGCTTTTGCAACCCGTACTGCTGTGAAGTTGGCTGGTAAGGGTACAAAGTGTCCTCCTTTCGATAACATGTCCACAGTAACAAAATTGACACTAAAACCATTAGAGTTAGGCAAATGGGTGATAAAGTCCATGCTGAGGTCGGTCCAGATAGTGTTGGGTGGTTTTATGGGTTGCAGTAGCCCGTACGGGGAATGGTTTTGTGGTTTCACTTTCTGGCAGATCTCACAATGTGTGACAAAATTCTTAACATCTCTCTTCAATCCCTTCCAGGTGAAAACCGTGTTGATGCGTAGGAACGTGTTCTGTACCCCTGAATGCCCCCCTTGCAAGGAGCTATGGAACTCGTGGAGCAGCTTCTCCTTCAGAGTGGATTGTTCCGGAATATAAATTCTGGACTTGTGAAAAAGCAGATCGTTTTTTATTTTCCATGCTTCCCATTTAGTTGGTTCTGTAATAAGGCCCTGGATGACTGTAATAGCAT